CCAGACTCAGAAGCCTTTTTGCAGCCAGCTGCCCTGATGGGGTGTCTGCGTCAGCCTGAGCTTCCCACTGTAGCAGTTGCCACATTTATTCAATTGTGTTTTCCTGCACTCATGTAATCTAGGAGCTCATGAGCTGTTAGCACCAGGGCTGAGCTGCACGGTGCTCTCAGACTCTTCCTCCCCCACGTGATGACAGGAGGCCAGTGAGAATCTGCAGGACAGGCCTCGGTGACGTCATTCCTCTGCCTAAACGCCACTCCCCATCAAGGACCCACCCCGCCTGACTGTGCTGTGAGCTGTAGGTGTGTGGCTGCATCCAGAACCCAGGACGAGCTCAGAAGCGCTGCCCCAGTCACCGCTGGCTGACTGATGTGCTCAACTGACATGCCGATGACGGAGACGGATTTCTAGGGTCTGGGGAGCTGATCTCGCGCTGAGTCGCCCCAGTCCCTGGTGGGGAAGCAGGTCATTTTGGGAACAGGAACAAAGGACTCAGACTCGGGCACCCTGTGCCACGAATGAGCCCTGTGGTCTCCAAGCAGCCATCTGAGCACTCTGGGCCTGTGTGTCTGCATCAGGAACGTGAGGGGCCTGGTGCAGTGAGAAGGTATTCTGATTATTCTGAGGATGAAGGTTTCTTTTCTCAAGTGCCTGTTCTATAAAGGTTATGCATAAATATGGGCCTCCGCTAGTATGAAACCACTCAAGCCTGCAATCCAATAAATTGGGCGATTATTAATAATATGCTGAAATGGCTACACCACTGCCCATTGTTCTAGTCCAGTCAGGCTTTGCAAACACGAGCTGCAGACTTGCTGGCTTAAACAAGAGATTTCTGGAGGCTAGAAGGCCAAGATCATGGCACAGGCAGAGCTGTGTCTGCTGAGGGCCTGTGTCCTGGTTTGCCAGTGGCTGATGTCTCACTCTGTCCTCTCATGGTAGGGGGGATGCAGGGGAACATTGCTGTTTGCACGAAGGCCCAGCCTCAGGGTCTACTTTCTCCCAAGATCACCCCTCCTAGTACCATCCCACGGGGACTTTGGGCTTCAGCAAGTGACTTTGAGGTAATCGTTTGGTCCGTGGATTGCTGCTTTAGACATGACAGTTTAAGTCAGAGAAAACAAAAGAAACTGCTTTAAGGCAAGAGCCCCAGAATCAGAGAAATCGATTCACTGTTCAGCCAAGCACATTCCTTTGCTTCTGTTAGCCTGGGCCTGACTTGACCCACCCTGCCAGGATGTGCTGCGAGGACAGAATGGGAGATGAGGTTCAGAGAGGGCAGGGCCTGGCCAAGGGCAGAGCTGGCTGTAGCATGCGGTGGCTTGGACATTTCTTTCTCAGAAGCTGTCCTGCTTCCATCCTGTGGCCCTGGGAACCCCCTGGAGTTGTAACCAGTATAGTGTGAGCAGCACTGTCTGGGGAGGGACTGCAGAGGCCGCAACGGAAACTTCTCTTGGACTGGACCCAGATACCCTGAACGCTGCGCTTGATGGGACAGTGAGCATCTCACTACCAGGCCTGGGTGGGCCCTGCACCCCTCATCCACAAAAAGAAGGGGTAGGGAGGCGCTCGCTCAGGTGGCCTGCTGCTCCGGCACTCCGTGAGTCTAATTCATAGTGGAAAGAGCCGTCATCCTTCAACGAGGAAGAACAAATCCTCCTCACCACTCTGCTTCAGTTCTGGTGCCTTTATAGCACCCCAGGTCCTGCCACATCTGGGCTCAGCTGAGCCCTTGGGCCTTTAATTAGAGGGCTTTGCGAGTCAAGGGGTTGTGGTCCAATGCAGCTCTTCAGGGAGACCGCTCACCTATTCCTTTATTTGAGATCAGCTGCCTGTCCCAGTGAGAGGACCAGAATGGGGCGTCCCACAGGACACTTCCAGGAAAGCTTGTGGTTAAGCTCCACTCGCCCCAGGCCCGGAGGCTCGGGGACCACGGGCAAGTGGCAGGTCATTGCCTTTATTCCTGGGAGTGTCTGAATTGTGCCAAACTGCAGCTCACTAGGCACCGCACTCCGGGTTCTAGTCCCAGTTGGGGCACCGGTTCTGTCCCGGTTGCTCCTCTTCCAGTCCAGCTCTCTGCTTTGTCCCGGGAAGGCAGTGGAGGATGGCCCAGGTCCTTGGGCCCTGCACCCGCTTGGGTGACCAGGGGGAAGCACCTGGCTCCTGGCTTCGGATCGGCGCAGTGCCTGCCATGGCGGCCATTGTGGGGTGAACTACCAGAAGGAAGACCTTTCTCTCTGTCTTTCTCTCTCACTGTCTAACTCTGCCTGTCAAAAAAATTTAAAAACTAAATAAATAAAAAAATAAATTGCGCCAGCCTCTGCCGAGCTCTGCTGTGGTTGCCTGTGCTTGCCGCAACAGCGTGTTTCTTACCCAACACGGTTTCTGCTTCCCCACTTCGGGTGGTTTGTGCTAAATGCGTTGGCAATCCCAAGTGGTTCAGGGAATAAAAGGATTGTCTCAAAAAAAGAAAAAAAGTGGTTTTGAATGTGTGGAAAGCAAGGCTGCCTGCTGTGTCTTTTTAACAGTCGTCTCCCAGAGGAGTGCTTGAAAACCTTACCTTTCAAGATGTTTCAACTTCTACTAGAAAGTGACTGAGGAACATGGCTCTCCTTGGCGCTGGGGTTGGCTGCGCTGGTGGTATTTGTCTAACCCGAGACTCCACGGCTGCGACTTCACACCATTCCTCCTTGCTACGCGCCCAGAGGTGGTGAAATCCCACTCGTCAGTGCGTCGCGGTGGGGGTGTGCACACACTGGAGCAGGGGCCTGCTGGAGACATGCATCATGACTGTGATAAACCCGTTTGTGTTTGACAAACCATGACGAGCACCTCTTGGTGCCTGGCAGTGCGTTAGGGTGAGCGCCGTCCTGTGCCTCACATAGGCGCTATCAGCCGGAGCGTGCTTTGCCATTGTCTGCACCGAGTGGCCTTCCAGGGGTCCTGCAAATGGACCTCAGTCCTCTTTGCGTTCCTTCTGGGCTCTCTTGAGCATCTTCCATCAGGATTTCTCAGCCTCAGCCTTCCTGGTATTTTGGACAGAATGGGTCTTTGTTGTCAGGAGCTGTGCTTCACACTGTAGGACAGGAGCAGTGTCCCGGCCCATTGCACCTGACACACCTCAGCTGTGACAACCCAAGATGCCTGTACATTTCCCAGAGGGCCCTTCTGTCCTTTTCACGTGAGGGAACTTAGGGCCAGGAGGAAGCTTGCCCAGGCTGAATGGTCACCTGGGGGTAGAGCTATAGCCACATTCCAAATCTCTTGTCTTCCTAATCCCGTTTCCTCCTCAGTGATGCATTGCTAAATGCTTAATAAATGAGATAAAAGAGAATGATCACATTAGGAGCATGTGCCAGTTCCCAAGGCGTGAGTACTCCCACTGTGGCTGGTTTCCAGGCACTTAGACGACCTCACTGAATGTGAAGTTGGGAAGACATATGGACAGTTGGCTCTGGGGAGATGGTGCTGGCTGGTCCTGGTACCACTGGGCTCGTGTGTGCTGCTGTCCACACGGTGGTCTTGCCCTCTCCTGCACCTTGTGCCGTGGGAGAAGCATTAGCTCAGGAAGCATTTCTGATCACCTCTCTGGATGACTATAGCAGTTATAGTAGAGTGTTCTCTCTTCAGTTATGTGATAATTTCTCTTGGCAGTCTTTGCACTGAGGAGTTACAGCTCTGGTCTTGGAGCAGAGACCCTAGGGAGTGCACCCTAGTGCAGGATCTCCTGGGCTCCTCAAGCCCTGAGCAGTGACCCAGTCCTGTTGCTCCGCATCGGGATGTTGGCTGAGAGGTGCTTGGGAAGCATCAGAGTGGTGAAGGCCAGTGGGCTGCGGCAGAACGGTCTTGGCTAGAATTTTAGTCCAGACGTGAGCTGTGACTACTGGGAACTGCCGCAGTAATCCCGTTCTCACTGCTGATGTGGAGAGCAGAGGAGCCATGGTGGGCTCGAGTTTCAGCTACCTGCCTGCTGGTGTACCTGGCCGTTTGCTGGATTGGCTGGCTGTCAAAATGGTGTAAACTCATCAAGCCGGAGGGCTCAGTGTGTCTTGACTTTTTCACCTTGGCCTTGGTTCAGCCGAGGTGCTCCTTGTCATCCTGTCTGTGGTCTGGCACTAGTCCTGGCAGCACCTGCGACTGAGGGAAGAGCCCTCAGCTGCTTTTCAGGAGATCTGGGTCCTCGTTCTGCCTTTGGTGCCGTCTCATTGCATAATCTTGGAGGGTTTGGTGTGACTGGAATATGGGGAGCCTGGGAAAGGGCTGGGGAGTATGGTGTAGCATGTAGCATTTTGAATTTATCTTGAAGGTAGTAGGAAGGGCTCAAAAGAGTTCGGCAAGCAAGCCATATGGTCAGATGTGTGCTTTAGAAAGTTCTTTCTGCACAGTGCAGAGCCATGCCCCGGGCAGGGTGAAACTAGTTAAGAGGTTGGCAACACTCTGGTCAAGGAAGGAAGGAGCAGCCCATGGATGCTAAACACTGAGGGACCCCACTAGTGCTTTGGAGGCTTCACACAAAGGTGAGATCAGTGTGGGCTGCAGTATTGGGGTTGTCGGAGGGCTTCGTGGAGGAAGGGGTCCTTGAGGCTGGCCTTGAAGGACGGTAGACCACATCCAGGCTGCAGGACAGAGCAAGCCAACCGACAGGAAGCTGCAGGCAGACACATTTGGGCTTAGGCGGAAAGATTGTGTGAAGGCTGAGTCTTGATAACTTTGGGCTCATCTATGGAGGGACTTGGGCGCTTGGCTTAGGAGCACGGGTTTTGTTGGAAGGCGGTGGATCTCACAGGCAAAGAGCATCTTCCTGTTGTCAGGTTCTCTGCGAATCTTGCTTTCTTCCAGCCTCCTGTCCGGTGCTGCCACTTCCCCTCTTCCTGTGGCAAGGCGTGGGGTGCCTGGGGCCCTGGAGGGGGTGTGCCCTGTGCTGTGGGAAGGCAGAGTCCCTTTGCATCTTGAGCAGGAAAGCTGAATGCTGATCAGATGACTTCTGATTTGCCTCGCAGCAGGGAGCCCAGAACCGGAGCAGCTGTGCTATTGTCGTCTGCAGCCCATCGCTGGGTTTGTCTGCGCAGGCCAGGGGTGACTGCTGTCAGCATCCTCGATAAGCCGGCTCCCAGCTGTCACAGGTATGTTCACAGTCATTCTTTGTCCTGTTGCCTCTGACTCTGTCCCCCTTGCTCAGAACGCGGCGGGCTCCTGTTTCCTTCCACGCCTGCTTTGTGTAAGTGTCTGGCCCTGACCGTGAACTTGAATTATGACCGGCCTCCAAGTGTCCTGATGAAATGAGATTTGGGCTTTCTGTGAGGTGCTAGAAAACAAAGCTTTCTGGGAAATGGGGTAAGCTAGGTTTCCTGGGACCCCCCAAAAGGAAACTGAAGCTCAGAGTGTAAAATGACTCCCTGAGACTGTTCAGACAGACGTCGGTCAAGGCCAGTCTGCCTGGATGTCAGTGTATCCCTGATGGATTTAGGCTGGGGCATTCTGAAAGTGGAGCCCCATTTTCACGGTCTGCATCTGGAGGAGGTTACTCTCACCTGAGACAGTGTGTATCAGAGGTTAGCATCCACCGAACCCTACACTGAAGAACTGTTCTCAGCCCTGAGATTTCCAGCTTCCGAAGAATGCTCATCCCTAAACCCCTGCAATATACAGATGATACTGGGTGACCTGCTCTGAGCTTGAGAGTCAAAGCAGAAAGCAGAGCCCAGGTCCTCTTGTCTCCACCCAGTATGCCTTGCCTCCCACCTGGTCTTCTGGTGGAGGTGGGGACTCTGTACAACACCCACCATGAGCCGCTCAGCTGTGCTCCTTGTAGGTGCTGTTGTAGCTCAGGGCCACTGGGGCACCCCAGGGTGCTCTGTGGGACTCAGGTAGTGTTTTCCATGTGAGACCCCTGTGACTTTGGCTGCATGAGTGCTGCGGGGGTTTGCAGGAGAAGCCGGAGCACACTGAGGTTGCTGGAATCTCGGACAACAGACTGGCTCTCAGAATGTGCTCTGTGCAATACCATCCTGGCACCATTCCCTAGTTCCTTATCCAGGGGTGGCACTGACCTTGAGCCTCCTGACATCCGTCTGCATCTACCAGTCCAGGTCAGCTTGACCCTACCTAATCATCTAGGAGAGTTATATTTACTGACGTGCAAACAGATTGCAGACACTGCACTGGTCAGCTTAAATGCTGTGTAGTTCTAATGACCCTGACATGAAGCTATTATTCAAATTGTACACATAAGGCAGCCTTAATTCAGAGAACTTACAGTACCACAAAGCTGGGCCTGAAGTTCACGGCTGTTGGGCTCAAGACCCCAGGCTCTTTCCACAGCCCCATCCTCCCACTAACACTTAATAAAAGTGCCTGATGCCCCAGCTTACTACTCCACTGAAGAACACAAGCAGAAGCATCCCTGTGTCAAATCCCTCATGGCCTCTCTTCCCTCACTGTGTCTCTGCTGCCTCTTTCCTCCCTCCCTAGCCACACTGAGCTGTTCATTATCCCCCCAGAGAAGCCAAATTTTACAAATGCAGCCATCAGCACTTCTCGTTGCTGCAGGCCTCTGGACTGGTCACAGTAGCCTGGAAAGACAGACAAGATACAGCCTGTCCCCTTAAGGAATGTCCCATCCGATGGTAGGGATACTGATGCACACAGATATGGTGCTGCAGAAATGAAAGCTCGTTCGATCTTCACGGTGGTCCAGAGAGGCTTGCCGGTGTGTATCTCCGCATGATCTGCATTTAACATTTATCCCAGCTGAAGCTCAGAGAGAAGTGACCCCAGCCTAAGCCGAGGTCTGGGTTGACCCAGGATTCCTTGCCCTCCAGTAGGTCATTCCTGCTACACCCAGGGGTGCTCCAAGCTTGTATCACCTGGGGATGGTCAAGTGCGGACTCCACAGTCTGGGCTCTTTTTCTGACTCTGGAGTTCCTGATGGAGACAAGGTGAGGTGTCAGCTGCTGACATTGCAAACCTGCTGAAGTTGTACCCCGAGCCTGCCCCAAAGGTGCCACTTCTGTGGATGTAACCGTGGTGGGGGGAAGGAAGATGAAAATACTCCAGGTCTGGCATTTCACGGTGCTGCCGCCCAGGGTGGTGGCAGTAGAGAAAGCTGACCTCCTTACGGTTCCAGTGTGCCCCCTGCTGCCCACCAGGGCAGAACTTGGAGTACCTGGTCCTCTGAGTGCTGCCTTCTGAGGAAGGCAGCCATCCCTGGGTTTTGTTCAGGGAGTGAGACGTGAACGCCTTGGAAAGCTTGGTGGGGCTTTCTGAAGACCGCTGCCCACTGCCCCACACATCAGTCATGCACCTCTCAGGACTGCCTAGGAAGACAGAGATCACAAGTACAGGTTAAACCCCAAACTTGGGAAACAGAGCTCAGCGGAGCCTGGGGTTAGAGACCTGGCTCTTGTTCTGGGCCTTCTATGCCGGCCACTTGCAAATGGCTTCTCCACACGTGGCATGGAGACACCCTCTATGAGGGTGGCTTGGACATGCTTGCGGTGGAGCACCGTGGCCAGGCCAGGGCAGGGCCATCAGACATGGGTCCAAACATGTGCTTTGATGACTCTGAACATCATTAGTCACCTCTCCGAGTCACCAGTTCCTTATCCTTAAGAGATGGGCAGTAGGGCTTCTGGTAGGAATGATCTGAGGGCTGTGCTGAACCTTCCTGTGGTGGTCATCTCACACCCAGCACAGTCAGTGCTCACTGAGTAGTACTCGCTGTTCCTCTGCCCTGTCGCCACCAGCCTGGCTCACTGGCCTCTGACCGTCTGGGATTTCCTGAGCCAGTGCCACCCCCAGTCGGCCACTGTCTGCTCACTAGCTGCCCCGATGCTGGGCTTCCTGCCATGGGCATGACAGACAGGAGCAAGATGGAGGGTCTTGGCCGTGAGTCTGAGCTCCTTCCATCTTGGCTCTTCCAGCTACTTGCTGGTTGGCTCTGGACAAGTCCTTTCCTTCTGTGACTCAGGTGTTCCCTGAATAACATTAGTGGTCGTCTTAATGATAATAAAAACAGCAGGGATAGCTGCAGTGAGTGGAATGGTAGCTCTTGGGAAGAGAAGTTCATCTCTAACCCTGGCACCTGTGTGTGCCACCTCATCTGGAGAAAGGGTCTTAGCTAGCTCTGGCAGAAGCCCTCAGGCAAAACAGATAAAAAGCCTTGCCATCTGTGTTACCATAGGAGGAGGGTCCAAGGCCCTGCCTGACGTCAAGGGCCCCTGGCATGCTTAGCACTGGGGGGCTTCTCTGGTACCCCAGTCCTGTGGTGCCCATGATTGAGGAAGTGCCAGAAACGTCCCCCTCAGAGAACAGTGATGCCCACTGCTGTCTGGCTAGCCTTGTCCTTCACCATGTTGATGGGTTGGGTGTGACCTCGGACTGATTTCCTGGCTTCAGAAGAATGGCAGTCTTTCTTCTTCTTGGCCAGCATCTTAAAAAGGCAGAATCCCATGGAAAGAGCAAAGCAAACACCAGGTTTCCATGCTGCCTCCTTCCTCCCAAGACCTACTGGGGACAAAGGGGCTGCAGCTCCTCAATCTTCAAGCACAGCGGGAGCCCACTGGCAGCCAGGAAGGGCCAGGCCTTGTCCTAGTCGTGCATGGACCCTTGAAGAAAATGAGTCCCATCAGTGACTGTGCTTCCTCCAGTGGGCCAGGCTGCCGTGGCACCTGCTGCACCCCATGCAGGTGGGACGGTCAGTTGCCTTAGGTTAACCTACACAGCACAACCACAGAGCTCTTCCTTTTGAGGAACCAAATTAGCACATGGGTCCTGGGCTGCTAAGGCTCCAGGAACCTACCAGTCTTTTTAAAAACATTTCTAAAACCTGCCATCCCCTCACTTCTGCAATCGTGGGCTGACTGCTATGTCATCAGATTACATCAGCCCATTTCCTATGTATAGAAGCGAACAAATTCAAGTCTGGGGAGCAGTGGGAGAATGAGTTGTTGTAAAGAAGTATCTGCTTGGATGGGGAAACAGAAGATTGTCCAGGAGATTCCTAATGTACACGAAAAACAAACAAAGCCCCATGGGACTGTGGGTGATTCTTTTTTTTTTGATAGGCAGAGTTAGACAGTGAGAGAGAGAGAGAGAGAGAGAGAGAGAGAAAGGTCTACCTTTTTTCCATTGGTTCAACCCCAAATGGCCGCCATGGCCGGCATGCTGCACTGATCCTAAGCCAGGAGCCAGGTACCTCCTCCTGGTCTCCCACACGGGTGCAGGGCCCAAGCACTTGGGCCATCCTCCACTGCACTCCCGAGCCACAGCAGAGAGCTGGACTGGAAGAGGGGCAACCGGGAGAGATTCCGGAGCCCCAGCCGGGACTAGAACCCGGGGTGCCGGCGCTGCAGGTGGAGGATTAGCCAAGTGAGCCGCGGCGCCGGCCTGTGGGTGATTCTTGAGTGACCTTATGTCCCCATGTGCCTGAGACTGTGCCAGTTTGTGCCTGTCATTACAGCCAGATGGTACCCCTTCATGGTAGAGGGATCTAGGCTTGGATGAAACAGTTCTGAGGTCACCCTTACTATCTGTGAGCCTGTGCATGGAAGTGGTTAACAGCACTAAGTATAGTACAGTGTGGAGAATATGTTCAGTGACAAGAAGTACCAATGTGCTTTGACAGCTGAAAGGTTAGCTGTGGGTTAGCACCACCGCACAGACGTGGGCACGTCCCTGCACGCTTTCACAGCACATGCGGCTTAGAGGTGAGATGGTGGGCCAAAATGTCACAGCAGCAATGGTTCAGATCCGCTCCGCCTGCTAGCTTTGACCTTGCTCGCACTTCTTAGTTTATCTCAACTGTAAGTTAGGAATAATCAAATGAATCGCACAGAGTTGGTATAGTCATTAGATAATCCAGGTAAAGCATCTGTTTGATTGCCTAGCACCCACTGCCATCATTACCACAGAACTGTCGCTCTTCTGGCTTCTGTCTCTCCCTCTGTCCATGAGAGGGACATCCCCTCTCCAGCCCTGTCACCCAGGCTTTCTGAAGCTAACTGGGTGGCCTTGCCTGAAGCCTGGTGTTCCTGGGAGTGTGTGCACTGCTCATCTAAGCCCTGCAGGCAGAGAATCGCCTGGCCAGCTGCTCTGTCCCTCTGGGACATGCGGTCTGGGTTCCCAGAGCATCATCCCTTCTACTAATGTGATGACCTCCATCTCTGGCCCTCCCTGCGTCCCCTCCCCGGCCCAGCCACTCCCTCCTCCCTTGAGCGGTGCTGTGGGAACACCAAGACCATGGTGTCATTCCCTGGTGTTGGCTGATGCTGGTGCCATCCCAGGGCACCAGGGCCCGGATGCCTGCCCCGCCGGCTGGGGAGGGGCTCCCCCTCCCCGGAGGAAGCTGTCATCCATCCCCAGTGCATTCGCATTCTTCTTTTTCTTCCCACTCTGTCACCCCTCCCTCTCTGCCTCCCTGTTGCTTTGAGGGGGGCATTGTTTAGTGGCGAGGAGCAGGGAGTGCAGCCGTTCTGTGCCTCAGTTTCCCCGTCTGTGAAAGGGGGCAATAATAACGGCCATCCAGTGCAGTTGCTGTGGGGTTTCAGGGAGTTACTAGAGGAACATGCAAAAGGAAGCTTGGCACACAGTAGGTGCTTAATCAGTGTGAGCTGTTTTCATCATCTGACACCTCTCTTCTTGTGTCTTAGTGTCGGTCGGTGCTCTTGGTGTTGTGGGACAGGGGTCACGAGGTTTTGCCAGTTCGTAGTCTGGGCTGTGCTGGTGAGGAACTGGAGGACCCTGAGCAAGAGCACTGTCACACTGGGAGTCAGCCCTTATCTGCACAGCCTGCAGGCAGGAATGCGGCCCTTCAGGCCCTTTCATCCATTCGGTGTCTACTGCCTTCTCTTCCCTTGGCCTCTGCCCTGCTTCCCACTTCCAGAACCTTTCAAGGGTAGCAGACACACAGCTGTCGAATCTGTCCTTTGGCCCAAGGGCTCTGGGCCACAAGTCAAGAGACACCTGTCTAGACCTGGTTCTGCCCTGTTACCCTGGATAAGTCATTTCATGTCTCAGACGCTCAGCTTCCCCGTTTAAAGAAATAGACATTTATTTGAAAGACAGACAGAGCTCCCTTCTGCTGGCTCAATTCCCAGATGCCTGAATGCCTGCAGCAACTACAGAGCCAGGAGCTGGTAACTCAGTCTGGGCGGGTACCTGAGCCATCATCCTCTGCCTCCTAGGATGTTCTTCAGCAGGAAGCTGGATTGGAAGCATAGTAGTCAGGACTGGAACCAGGCACTCCAGTAAGGGGTGGACCATCCCAACTAGCAGTTTAATAACTCTTTTTAAAACTGGATAATTACCCCTGTGCTTTGTAACACTCTCAAAATGACCAAAGAAGGCGAGAGCTTACAGCACTCTTTGCTGGTTGTCAGGTGCTGCAGAGGTTCAGTCTGAGAGTGTGGCCAGTGGTGTTAATCTTCTCTCGCCGTGGGCTACAGGGAAGGCAGACTGCCCCGGCCATCTGGAGCTGCTGGTGACAGGAGGAAATGAGTGTTGGTGTGAAGTGAGGTTCAGCGGCTTGTGGAGACAGAGATGGGCGTTCTATGTTCCTTCCCCTACTTGATCTCTTGTCCCTCTAACAGACATCTGGCCCATGGGTCACTCACGCAGCAACACAGCAAACCACCAACAGCCACTTCAAAAGCTTGAACTCCTCCCAGAGTTCTGCTTACTTTTGCTGCTCTGTGTTTCTTTGAGTGATAGGGATGTAATTTATAGAATCCTGGTCAGAACCCCGGAAGGTTATTAGCTGTAGTCCTTGATGGAGCACTGTTTGCGATCATGTCTGTAAGGTGGGAGGAAGTCGGGTGATGGTGAGAGTTCAGTTAGGATCCATGTGTTCAAATGTTCCTCCAAGGACAGAGCCTGGTGGGTGACACGGGAATTCTCCCAGAAAGTCTTCAGTGATACAAGTTTCTGGGCACCTTGCCTAAGTCATGGCTTCTCATTAGCTTCCCAGAGGCACAGCGGATCTGGGGAAACCACTGGAATGGGGACTGGTATCTGGGGACTTGCCTGTTAGGGGACTCTCCACTCTGCATGCCCTGCCCACTCCCGCTGCCCATCAAGGGGCTGAGAAGTGTATCTTCAGCAGTGTTAGAGTATTCTTAGGCTGTAGCTACTGGAGCTATGCCTTGGAGTGGTGTTTCAGTTTACACTGTGACTGCCATCCTAAAAAGATGTGCATGTGGACTTGGAGAGATTCTGTATGTCTCTGTTAGGAAGTAGAGTGGACCCACGGACAGGAAGCCGTGGCAGAAGTGCCCTAGATTCGTGGTCGGGGGAGACCAAGTGTTCTCTTGCACTGGTTTTGTGGTAGGAGGCAGTGGGATTCTGGCTGGGCCCTGTCAGAGGAATTGGTCACACACACACACACACACATGAAAAGCATGCTGTAGCTTTGAGAGCACTTGAGAGTAAAGCAGGCTGAGCTTGCTCTCCCCGACCCCTGACCACGTCAGCAGCTTCTAGTGTCCAGATGCCTTGTGATACACTTGGCCTTGGCCTTGGCCTCGGCCAGGAGGGGAGCAGCTGCTCTCACCCCACAGTCCCTCTTTGGGAATCCACTGCTGTCGCTGTCCACACCCCGGTCAGGGCATCAGCCCCATGTGCGGCTGTGCTCTCTGGATGGGAGGGGGAGACGGACTCTGGGCACCAAGGCTGAGTCTGGAGAAGATCAGATTCTCTGCCCCGGTGCCGTCGTGACCCGGTTGCTCGCCGCTGTGCATGTTGGCTCAGAGACCACGTTTGCTTCGGGCCAGGCCGGGCCGGGCCGGTTCAGAGTTGCTGTGTTTTCTCGATCATTTCCTTCCCTCCTCCCCCCTTCACTTCCTGTTTGCTTTTCTTCCTCTTTCTCCACCCCCACCCCATCCCTCCTGGCATGCCCCTTGCTGTCTGAGAACAGGAACAAACCCAAGCGAGAGCGAGCAGTTGTTGATGATCACGACTTCCTGACGTGCCCTCTCCCTGTGGCTGCTCAGAACCAGGACCAGCCCCCTGCCTGCCAGGGGCCACATGAGCCCCAGCAGGGGGCCTGGCAGGAAGCCTTGGCCTTCAGAGCCCCTGTCTGAAAGGCAACCCCATAGAAACAATCCTTGAGGGCTTTCCGAAGACCTTTCTGGTGCATCCGAACGTCGGGAGCTCTGGACAACTCCTAGAGCCTGGGCCTAATGACTGTAGCCCCGTCAGATGGGCACAGAGCAGACTTAAGGTTGTGGACGCGCTTCTGGGTCTGCGTCATATTCTGTGTGCGATTTTGCAGAGCAGCCTGGCTCAGCAAAGCGTGGTGTCCTGCCCTGGGGAGAAACAGACTTAATGGTACCTCACAGGGATTTTTCACAGACAAATGAGGGAAATATTTTATAAAATTCACAAGGCACGCCTTCACGGATATTACTGGCTTAATAAGTGTGAACTCCCGTCTGTTTTTCTATGATTTGATTTTTCTGCTCAGAGGAGTGGCCGTGCAAATGTACAGTAGCCAAAAACAAAAACAAAAAAAAACCAAAACCAAAAACACACAGTCCCGTAATAAGTGCTACTCCTGGGAACTGGGAAGGGAGCTCATGTCTGTTACTATGTTTTCCTGAAACATGGGCAGAGAGACAGAGACAGAGAACCCTCTGGGCCCACACATGCCTGTCACTACGAGACGGAGGCCCAGCACTGTGGTCACAGGTCAGCATATCCATAGCAATATTTCTCCGATGGGAAACAGAAGAAGCTTCCCAACCACATGCCAGAGGTGGACTGTTTTACTCATTTAGCTCCCAGGGGTAAAACTACAAAAAGTACAAAAACAGCAGTCTGGAAAAAGTGCCACCTCCCTTTTTGAAAATCTGGTTGGCTTCCCATTCAGGGTCAATGGTCTGTTGTTCGAGAACTCATCCTGGGATGTCTTTTGAAAAGTTCCAAGGGCCCGGGAGTCAGGGACCTGTTCCAATCTGGATTCCACAAACTGTCAAATCCTTGAATGAGGCGCTTTCCTTGTGTGAGCCTCAGTTTCTCCAACTGTAAAATGAAAGAGTTCAGCAAGATTTTCTCCTAGGGGTCTTCCAGCCTTCGTCATCTGCAACCCTGTAACTCTCTGTTCTCCCTAGAAAAAATGTGTGCAAAGGAGGTAGCCCCTCCGAGTGACAGACGCACTTTCCCTTTTAGCAGGCGGTCCCTGGCGAGGGCCCGGCGGGACAGGGAAGCTGCAGTTCTCGAGGGGCCACAGTCCTGCTTCGGGAGCCCACTTGGCCTTGGCCTGACAGCTGCTCATCTGCTTCATCCCATCAGCCTGGATTGGTGAAACTGAGTCACAAGAGCTATTTCCAGGTAAGAAACTGCTGGCTGTGGCGACGGCAGATAGACAGCAACAGCCAGCATTGTAGTGCAGAGTGTGTGTCACGTGCATGCTTGGAAGTTTCCTGAGGATGGTCATTTTGCCAGGTTTGTCATGTTTGGTTAGCAGCCATGTCTCCTGCCAGCACGCACATCTAAGGACAAGGAGGCAGGAAGGACATAAGTAATCTCCGGTGTGCGTCTTGAGGCAGCTGTAATTTCGAGGTGTGATTAGCTGTGCTCTGGTTGGAATCTGTGGCCCTCCTGAGCCTTCAGTGTCTTCAGGCAGGAAACAGCAGAACTGTGTGTCAGAAAGCAGATTCGAGCTGCGGCTGTGGGATCCTTCTGCCTGCAGAATCCGTGAAGAAGCACCCCAAGCAGAGGGTCCTCCCATTCCTCTGCCGGTCAGATCTGCACAAGCACGGATGCCGTCCTCTGGTTGTCGGCCTGAGATGGAGACCTGGCTGTGATGTTGCTAGAGACAAATGCTTTCTGTGCAGTTTTCCAGGGCACTTGAGGTAGACCAGTTGACGATAACCGTTCCTGTCTCTCCCTTCAGTGACCTGGTCAGTTCTCTCTGGGACTGCTTCTTCTCTCCCTCCTACCACCAGCTATGGACATTTGCTTTTTATCTATTTATTTATTCATTTATTTGAAAGGCAGAGAAAGAGAGAGAGAGTCAGAGAGATCTTTCATCTGCTGGTTTACTCCTAAAAAGCCCTCTAACAGCTGGGGCTGGGCCAGGTCAAAGCCAGGAGCCAGGAACTCCATCCCGGTCTCCCACATGGCTGACAGCAGCCCAAATACTCAGGCCATTTTTTGCTGCCTTCTCAGGTATATTTCTAGGGAGCTGAACCAGAAGCAGGTCAGCTGGAACTCTGACTAGCACTCTGATACGGCATGCCAGCGTCACAAGTGACACCTGAACCTGTGGCACCACAGTGCTGGCCCCCAGTGTGGACCCTTCCTGTGTAGAAGAATACTGCCACACATCCTGGAACTTCTCCTTTGTGCTTACACCTAACGTGGGCTGCCACCACAGTGTGCGCAGGGCTCGGCTCCCTCACTCTGGTACAGAGATGTATGTTCTTTCAGCAGGCCTCAGTACTGACAATTAGGAGACCAAAGATCATGTAGAAATACTGATTCCCCGAGGTGGGCCCACCTCACTCTTTCCCTGGTCTCCAGTCCTGCCTCCTGCTGGCCTCTGTCCTATATCTCAGCTCTTCCAGCTTTGCATCTTGAGTTTCCTTGAAAACTAAAGCCAGAAGCATTTCCTGTAGCCAAGCCTAGGAGAGTGGGTTAGACCATGTGACTTGGAGTGCATTTTCTGGTTCTTGGTGCCCAGCATCCTTTTATGGAGATGTGATCTTTATGGCAGCTTCCCACCTGGGGGAGAAGAGGTTTCTCACGCTTCCTTTATCTGGAGCGGTCCCTAAGGACACAGAAGAGCTTTGGGGATCCAACAGACCTGACTACGGCTCAGCTCTGCTGTGCATTGGCGCAGTGGTTTTGCTCAGATCACTTTAAGTTTCCCGTCTATAATGTGGGACAGGACATTCCAATTTACAGGCAGTGGTGAGGCTAAAAGGACCTAATGCTTTAGCGGTTCCTTGCCTACAGTAGGTCCAGACAAATGTTAGCTCCTTTCTGTACCTGACCTTTTGTGGAGCTACTTAAGTGGAGCCTTGACCCCATATCTAGATTCCATTTGAATGCCATGCTGAAAATCTAAGGGCAAGGCTTATCCACAAATGTGGTGGAGTCCCCTCTGTTACAGAGAGAAGCTGTTCAGAGGCTGCTGGTTTCACAGCTCCTCTTCCCTCGCAGCCTGGGCTTTGCCTCGTTGCTCTCTGCAGCAGGCCGTTTGGGAGATTTGCTCCGTCATATCCACCTACTGCTCCCCTAGCCCCTTGGTTCCATCGTTGGTCCCATGAGGCTTTGCCTGAAAACTGACTGCTTCCCAGCCCTGTCTCCCCCTCCAACCAGTGGACTTCCAAGGCCCAGTGGAACAAGCCTGCGGGCTTGGGGCAGGCTCAGCTCCTCTGGGACTTTCCTTCCTCGTCTGCCTTCTCTTTATGGGACATTCATTCTTGCGGTCTCTCCTTCATTCAGCAGAGCGTGTGGAGTGTGTGCTGTGTGGTGTCCAACAGGTGGTGGTCATGATGCCAGGGATGCAGCACAGAAAGCAAAGTCCCTGTTCTCAGCTACAAACCCACCTCCACTTCAAAGGCACTATTGAGGATACGGGAAAATGTAAAGCACAGAAAATAAATATTGAAGCCAAGCCAGAGAGTAGGGAGAGAGTAGGGAGTTGGGGGAAAGGGGCATTGCTTGGAGGGTGCCAGGCTGCAAGGAACCACTGGAACAAAGGAACCTGCATGGGAAATGTGCCTGGAGCAGCAAGAATGGGGGGCCAGGGATGGAGAAGGGGACAGAGAGGAGCAGGCAGGTGGGGCAGGGCCTCAGAGGCCACTGAAAGGACTTAGGTGTTTCTGGTCATTGCTTCTCCCCTTTCTGTCCCCTCCCCAGAGCATCTCGAAGTTCTAATCCCTAAAGCCCCACTAGGTGCTGTTACCCAATAGCATGTCCAGCATTTGTACTGAATCCTTTGGCGTTCCTGGCTGTTGAGGCCTTGGAGATGCAGGAGTCTTGACCTTGTCCTTGGAAGCTCAGGGCCTGGTAGCTTGTTCAAGGCTTTGTGGGGAGGAAGTTGCATCAATAAATTAGGTTGACATCAACAGCTGTCCTAAGCTGATCGTGGTAGAAGCAATTTGCTCAAGTAGGAGTTTTCCACGGGAACTTCCTACAGGTCATTCCGACTACACGTCTTGGAATTCATTTCCATGGTGGATGACTGCCAAGTCTTGCCTTCAGGGTAAAGGGAGGCCCCATCCATTCAGCAAACCCGTGTGTGCCTCTGATTCTTCATTACCATCCTTAGCTGCTCCAGGCACTGGGGATGCAGGATGGCTGGATTCAGCCCCTGCCCTTGTTCCTGGCTTCTGGCAGAGGTAGGTACTACAGGTACCCCATCAGAATTGCCAGAGGAAGGGCCTGTGACCCAGACTAGGAAGCTCCCTGGGGACATGTTGCCTGCATTGAGTCCTGGAGATGAGGCAGGTCAGGCCGGTAAGGGCAGGGAGGCAGGGATCCTGGAAGGGCTGCCCTGGGGGAGTGTGTGCGTAGAGAAAGGCAAGACTCCTGCAGAGGAGGCAGAGGAGGGGACAGTGAGGGACCTTGCAGACCAGGCCATGTGGTTGGAGGACAGCCTAGTGCACGCACTGTTAATAGTTTTTAAACAAACAGAAAAAAGGATGGCCCAATAAGATTGGAGTTTTAGAAAACCAGGAACCTGGATTCATTTGATCCCCTGGCTCCCTAAAATGCTATGCTCCATCTCCTGCCTGTATTAGTAGCACACGGGTCAGCTGGACAAGATGGTTGTGGACAGTGGGTGGGTGAGTACAACTGCCCTTCCGCCATCCAGTGCCCACATGAACGTGCCACGCTGACAAGGGCTCACAGGCAGACTTGGGCCCGGGGGCTGGGAAACAGCTAGAACTGAGCTTGTGCCTGATAGGAGGGTGTGGCTGGCCAGAGCTGTCCTAGTCTAGTAGAAATGGAGGGATTTCAATCTCGTTATGTTTCCTTCGGACCAGAAATGAAGTTCCTATGCACCTCTTAATCCTCTCCCCTCTGAAGGCTAGAACACGAGTGTTCCCTTTGGAAAGTACACATTCATTTAATAGCTGATGTCTGGGTACCTGCCTTGTGCTAGACAGTGTGCCGGGCCTCTGAACATCAAGAAACATCCAACACAGTCCAGAGATAAAGGCAGAGGAGCAGATGGTGTGTAAGAGACCCAGCGTGAACAGAGTGACACTCCCTGCCAGGACGGTCAGGGAGGACTCTAAGAGGGGCCATGTGAGCTGGGCACTGAAGGGTGAGTAGGAGTTGGGGACTGGATGACAGATGCTCCCAGTACATAGCCACACTCCATCAATAGGGGCCAGCACTCAGTTTTCTGTGAAAGGGGGGAAGGAAGCAGGCAGAGTGTTCATCACGCACAGATAATGCCCCAACTCTGCTTCTTAAAAATGCATTAGTCGCCACCTCCTCACCCTCCCACCTTTCTCCCTACAGTGACTAAAAAGAGTCAAATTGACTAATTTGAGCTGATCTCTTCTCTGACCCTGTGGAGGTGTTGGTGAGAATAGGGTGGGGGGAGGGACCAAGAAACGAAGCAGAACGAAGATCAAGAGGAATCTGTTTCCATCGTCCAGAAATACTGATTTAGCTGCTTGGACTGTGCTGTGGCTTCCTGGGCAAAATGCAGCTTTGCAGAGAGCTGTGTCTGCTCTTTCCACTGACAACTCTAAACCTGTCCTTCTACCTTTCTCTCAGAACTAAACATTATTGGGAGCGAGCTGGATGCAGGTATAGACACACACACACAGAGAGAGAGCTGCTATATCCATTGGTAGATGCACATGCCCACACGTACATAAATGTGTGTGTGTGTGTGTGTGTACATTATATATAGTTTGTTCTAGCACCAGGCACACAGTGTGCAGCTGATTCTCCCTCACTCTTGCTGGCTGGGAGATGAATGGAGGGATTAGGCCCGACCTTGCCACCTGCACACTTCCTTGCTTGTGCCAAGGCCCATGCCCTTCACGGAGGGCCAGGCCCAGGAGCAAAGCAGGCAGGCACATCAGGGTCATGAAGACAGAGCTGACGCGCAGAGAGATGATGTGGCTTCCGGAGGCCCAGCGTTCTAGGAGGTCAGGATTCAGACTCTTTCTTCAGTTGTCCCCTCTGCCACTGTGCGTGCTGTGGACCACCCTGTCTGTGAATCGGTGGCACTTCCAGCAGGACCAGGAGATCCGGAAGGGAAGCGTTGTCCTTGGGCCTGGTTTTCCCCTGGAGCTTAGAAATGCAGAAGTGGGCAGGGTAGCTGCTGACCGGAAGCTGGGACTTGCCCTGCAGGG